CCATTCCTTTGCGAGTCAGGCTATTTGTCAGTCGATGTAGCAGCACTCCGTTGCGAGTCAGGCTATTTGTCAGTCGATGAAGCAGCACTCCGTTGCGTGTCAGGCTATAAGATAGTCGATGTAGCAACATTCACGCATGTTTTAAAAATGTTTTTTTAATAAAACAAAAACAAAAACATCACTAATTAAAAAAAACTTTCTAGTCGCTATAATTGCAGTTTTTTTAAATTTTTTTTTAAAACAATAAAATTTAATGTACTTCCGCATTAATTTAATTGCTTTGACATTTCGACGACAATCAAAAACAGCTTAAGAGACGAGGTAATTAAAATTGTAGTCGAATAAGACTTTTTTTACATTGAAAGACTCTTTCGACTACACTATAAGGATATATATATATATATATATATATATATATATATATATATATATATATATATATATATATATATATATATATATATATATATATATATATATATATATATATATATATATATATATATATGTATATATATATATACATATATATATATATATATATATATATATATATATATATATATATATTTTATATATATATATATATATATATATATATATATATATATATATATATATATATATATATATATATATATATATATATATATATATATATATATATATATATATACCCAGACAGCAAGCTTACATTGGCCCAATGTAAGTTTTAACATTGGCAAGTTTATTCGGTTGGGCCAACATTTAGCCAATGTTTTTTTCGGCGTATTTTTTTTAATTCTGCAAACCTGGTTTTTGCAAATATCGTACTATATTGGGCCAACATTTAGCCAATGTTTTTTTTTCGGCGTAATATTGCAATTCTACAAAACGGTTTTTTGCAATTATCGTACTACGTTGGGCCAATATTTGGCCAATGTAGTTTAGGCTTAATATTTTGCCATAAAAATCTGTTTTTACATTTTACCGTAGCCAATATTCGGCCAATGTTGTTTCGGATTAGTATATACTTTTAAATTGTTTCGAAACATTATTTAAAAATGGTATCGTTTGACAGAATAAAAAAAGGTTTTGATACTATTATATATCTTTCCATTTAATTACATTATAAAAATAAAAAAAAGAAGCTATATTTATTAATCTTCTAAGAATCTTAAAAGGTTTCTTAAAAAAAGTAAACTTCAAGAGATTCTCGTGACTTAATGTTTTGTTTTTTTAAATGAAACATTTTTTAACATTTAAATAATATGCTTAAAACATATTTTACTACAATCTAAATTATTAATGTAATAATAAAGGCAATAATCAAATTATTTTTTTGTAAGATCTTATCGTTATTTTTTTATTTTTATTGCGTTATTGGCATTTCAAATATTTGTTTTATTTATCTTTATTAAATTTAATTTATTAAATTTTATTATTTTATAAAATTTATTATTATTATTTATAAATAAATGAAACATTTCAAATGTTCGATTTATTTAATAAAGGAGACATTTTAAATGTCTTCTTTTTTAATTAAATCAAACGTTTAAAATGTCATACAGTATAATTTTTTTTTTTCATTATTTACAATAGTTTAGATTATATAGCTATTATAAGATATATTATTAAAACTATCAATAATATATATGTGACATTAAATGTTGTTAGAAGCTGATGCTTTACATTTTAAATATGTCTCTTTTGTTTGATTTTTTCTGTGTTTGATTATGAAACCCCATCTACTAACATATTAAAACAATGTACAAAAAGTGATGTTACTAGAACATATATTCTACTTATGTAGAGCTTTTAAATATTACATCTTTCTGAGGCAGAGGGACATTATTCTTGGTGTAATTATTTTTTAATTTAATATCTCTGGATATTTTTCATATTTAGTTTGCGTACAACAGTTAACAACTTTAAGCTTGTACATTAACTTTAGTTATAACTTAATTATTATTGATTTGATTTTTAGATTTTTTAAGCAATGCAAGATTGAATTTAGCAGAAAGCTAAACTTCTGCTCTCGAGACAAAAAAGGAAGATAGTGAAAATAACCAGTCAAAATAAAGATTGAAGAGACAAAAAGTTGTGTATATCTTGGTGTAGATGATTTATTCTCATTTTCTTATAATAAAACAAAAAATGTTTTTAAACTTTGGGATTTACCTGTAACTCCAAAATCTTTACAGAAGTTTAATATTTGCTCTGAGAAATTGAATGAACAAAATTATTAAATGGTATTTGTCTAATGATTGAGAATCTTTATTCATAGCTTTAACTTTTACAATTTTAAAAACTTTTTCATATATTACGGTCAAAAAGTCAGAGTGTTAATTAACATTTTAGTATGAAATAATCAAAATATCAAAGCCTACACAACAGGCTTGGTCAGGAAGCGGGAGCGATCGCTCTCAAATACTGACCACAGAAAATATATTTAGTTGCGAAAAACTGGCTAGGTTTTTTAGTTGTTTTGAGAACATTTAAGTTTATGAATGTAACAAAAATTTTTTGTTGGATTTCAAAGTTGATGTCACCAACTTTGAAAACCATTTGAAATCAAATGTTGAAAAAAACAACAGTATTTGTATTTATATCAGTATTCATATCAGTTTAAAGTTTTAACAGTTGCTGGTGATTCATTATTATTCATTATATCAACGTTTATTTAAATTTATCTAATAGACGAAGGTAATACAATATTTTTATAGATGATATTATTTTTAAAAATAGTTATTAAAATTCAGAACTAAATTAGATAAAAAAAATTATTTACAAACATTGGACAAGGTCCGTACTGTACCTTGAAAATCTGGAAAATTTGTTAATATTGGCTAAAGTCGTGGAAAACCTGAAAAATGTCAGGAAATTATTTTTTTTTTTAGATAGTCATGAAAAAATCAGTAATTCTAGTTAAGTAGTTACTCGTTTCACAAATGAACGCTGTGTTTTGAAAACGTGATGAGTCGCACTTTTTTTAAAAGTGAGGTTATTTGAAAAGAATATTTTCAAAAAAATATTCTTTTTAAATATATATATATATATAATATTTATAAACGTAAATAAATAAATAAATACTAATTTGTCCTGGTTTGATAGTTACTTGACTAATAGAAAGCAGTTTATTTCATATGATAGCAGAAAAACGGAATATAAGTCAATCACCTGTGGTGTTCCTCAAGGATCAATTTTAGGACCACTTTTATTTCTCGTTTATATTAATGACTTATAAAAATTTTCTAACATTTTAAACTTAATTTTGTTTGCAGATGATACAAACTTGTTTTATTCTAGTAAAGATATCAGTAAATTATTTCAAACAGTAAACAAAGAACTTGAAAAATTAACCTAATGGTTCAAATCAAACAAACTATCTTTGAACATCAATAAATCCAAATACACTTTGTTCCATCGTCTTCATAAAAAACAAGATATTCCATTAAAACTTCCTGATCTTTTTATTGATAACGCATTATTAAAAAGAGAGCAATCAATAAAGTTTTTAGGTGTGGTTCTGGATGAAAACTTAACCTGGAGGGACCACATAGGTCTAATTGAAAATAAAATATCAAAAAATGTAGGTGTTTTGTATAAAGCCAAGCAGTTTTTAAATCTATCTTGTTTAAAAAACTTATATTTTTCTTTAATTCATTGCTACTTAAATTATGCAAACGTTGCTTGGTGCAGCACAAACGCAACAAAAGTAAAAAACTGTTTAGTAAACAAAAACAGGCTATAAGGATAATTACAAACGTAGACCGTTTCTCTCACACTAAAACATTATTTAATAAACTTAATATTCTAAATGTATATAAACTAAACCTTTACCATATTCTTATCTTCATGTTTAAACTTGATAAAAAAATATCACCAATGTTATTTAATTCACTTTTTGAAAAAATAAACCACATATACCCTACCAGATTTTCAAAAAACAATTACATTCAATCCAAAACACATTATTCAGCAACCAAATTCTCAATTGCAAATCGAGGTCCTAAGCTGTGGAATACAATATTAAATAATGAGCTGCTCTTTAAACCAGTTTAAAACAAAACTTAAGCAATTACTGATGATACATGAAAATGAATTAAAGTTCTTCTAAAAAGCTTTTTAAACTAGCAAACAAAAACAAAAATTAACCTACTAATTACTCTTTAATATTAGATTTAATATTCTAAACAATAGTCTGCTATTTTAAATGTATTTCTTATCTTATAAGTTTTGAATTTACAAACGATTTTTTAAGTTTTATTATTTGAAATACTAATTAATAAAAATATTGTAAAATTTTATAATTTCAATTTTTATTAAAAAAAGTTATTGTAAATTCTTTTTGTAATATTAATACTTATATATCATCTTATTTTACTAATCAGTTCTTAAATATAAATACTCTTTGAATTACTAAATATTTTAAACGTTATATACTTTATTTTTTACATTTTGTTAAAATATTTTATTTGATGAATATGCATTTTTTTTTTGGGGGGGGGGGGGCTTAATGATAAGATGAATTTTGTCTTCTTCAAGCCCTAGTTATGTAAATATTTGTTTTTATAAATTAAGAGTGTAAATTATTTTTAATCGGCAAATACAATACAAAAAAAAAAAAAAAAAAAAAAAAAAAAATAACCTTACTTAAATAAAAAATACTTAAGTTAACATAAAGATTTTTTTAGATAAAATAAAGATTTTTTTAGATAAAATAAAGATTTTTTTAGATAAATTAAAGATTTTTTTAGATAAAATAAAGATTATTTTAGATACATTAAAGATTTTTTTAGAGAAAAGAAACAGTTTTTAGATAAAATAAAATTTTTTACAAGAGAAATATTTTTCACTCCCTTGTAAAATTTTAATTTTGTGACTCACATTTTCAAACTACAACGCTCAATTA